TCGCAAACAGAAGATAATAAATTACAACAGCAAATATAAAATCAAACACAGAGAAATGTCAGGAGTCGTGCTCCACTCTGACTAGAAGGCCAGGGAGAAGAAGTGAGTTTTTAGTTTAGATTTAAAACCCCCTAGGGTCTGGGCCGACCTCACATGGAGGGGCATAGTGTTCCAGAGCCTGGGGCCAGCTGCTGCGAAGGCTCGGTGCCCTCTGGTTTTGAGCCTGGTCTTGGGCACTACCAGCAGCAGCTGGTCAGCAGACCTTAAGGCTCTGGCTGGGGTGTAGCGCTGGAGGAGTTCAGCTATATAGGCCGGAGCCAGCCCATTTAGGGCTTTGAAAATAAATTAAAGGAGTTTATTAATGTTAATTTGTTGTAAAAACGTTAATTTTGTGTAAAAAAGTAAATTTTGTGTAAAAAAGTAAATTTTGTAAAAAAGTAAATTTTGTAAAAAAGTAAATTTTGGGTAAAACGTAAAAAAAAAGATGGTAAAAAAAGTAACATTTTTGGGAAAAAAGTCACATTCTGAGGAAATAGTCAAATTATGAGAACATTTTAATTGTAATTATTGATGTATTGAAGAGGACCTACTGTGCTAAGACTCACCAGAGATTTGGCGATGCAGTATTGCTCTCCCACGTAACAGAAGTCTCCGGAGCCGCTGGTCTCAAACCAGATGTGATCTCCGAACAGAGCGTTCTCCTGCAGGAAACACAGGGTCACTGGGTCAGAACATCCATACAGAAACACAGAGGGTCACTGGGTCAGAACATCCATACAGAAACACAGAGGGTCACTGGGTCAGAACATCCATACAGAAACACAGAGGGTCACTGGGTCAGAACATCCATACAGAAACACAGAGGGTCACTGGGTCAGAACATCCATACAGAAACACAGAGGATCACTGGGTCAGAACATCCATAGAGAAACACAGAGGGTCACTGGGTCAGAACATCCATACAGAAACACAGAGGGTCACTGGGTCAGAACATCCATACAGAAACACAGAGGGTCACTGGGTCAGAACATCCATACAGAAACACAGAGGGTCACTGGGTCAGAACATCCATAGAGAAACACAGAGGGTCACTGGGTCAGAACATCCATACAGAAACACAGAGGGTCACTGGGTCAGAACATCCATACAGAAACACAGAGGGTCACTGGGTCAGAACATCCATACAGAAACACAGAGACCTTAAAGGTGGGGTAGGTAAGTTTGGAGAAACCAGCTCGAGATCGCTAGAATTTGAAAATACACAACCGGAGAAAATCTGCCACTTCCTCACAGAGCCCCTCCTCCAACACACACGAACGCGCACATGACCAATGAGGGCACGAGATAAGTTTGTGCACAGATGGAAGGCTGACAGGCAGGTCGGCCATCCAGTTACTTTAGCCGGGCCGGCTCAGATGATTGGTCGTGCTTTTTACAGAACTACAGCTTCCACAGATGATATTTATTTATGGATTTTTTGTCAAAGCACTTCAGATATTCATTGCTATCGGGATGTTAAGAGCATTCCATGGAATATAACAACAAGTGTATCTCCAGCCGGTTTCTCAAACTTACCTACCCCACCTTTAAAAGAAGATCTTGACTTAAGGTGTTTTGTGCAACTATCTCAGACTTTAAGGAAACTCTAAACTTAAGGTGTTCCGCACAACTGGCTTAAATGAAAGGAAACCGTTTTTTATTACGTTTTTTATTACGTTTTGATTACGTTTTGATTACGTTTTGATTACGTTTTGATTACGTTTTGATTACGTTTTGTATCCATCCATCCATCTTCTCCCGCTTCTCCGTGGTCGGGTCGTGGAGGTATCAGTTCCAGCAGAGAGCCCCAAACGTTCCTTTCCCCTCATCAACCAGCTCTGACTGGGGGATCCCAAGGCGCTCCCAGGCCAGAGAAGAGATATAATCCCTCCACCTGGTCATAGGTCTACCCCTTGGTCTCCTCCCAGCTGGACGTGCCTGGAACACCTCCCTAGGGAGGCGCCCAGGTGGCATCCTTACTAGGTGCCCGAACCACCTCAACTGGCTCCTTTCTACACGAAGGAGGAGCGGTTCAACTCCGAGTCCCTCCCGGATGACTGAACTCCTCACCTTATCCCTAAGGGAGACGCCAGACACCCTGCGGAGAAAACCCATCTCGGCCGCTTGTATCCGCGATCTGGTTCTTTGGGTCATGACCCATCCTTCATGACCATAGGTGAGGGTAGGAACGAGAATGGCCCGGTAGACAGAGAGCTGCAGTACCGCTCCGATGCTCCTATTCTCCGGCCCATCTCACGCTCCATTGTTCCCTCACTCGAGAACAAGACCCCGAGATACTTGAACTCCTTCACTTGGGGTAAGGACTCATTCCCTACTTGGAGTGGACAGTCCATGGGTTTCCTGCTGAGAACCATGGCCTCAGATTTGGAGGTGCTGATCCTCATCCCAGCCGCTTCACCTTTTTATAACCTTTTTATTACGTTTCTGTATTTAGTATTTT